AACTGACCGCTCCATCTTGAGATTACGTGGCCCAGCAAATCCCCCTGAAAGTCAGTTTTGATTGGATCTTGCTCCCTAGATCACATTGGTAAATGCAAGTCTCATGCCTGGTTACAATGAGTGCCATAAAGCCATCTTCATTAGCTTCAATGTTGCTTAAAGATGGATGCAAAGATCAGCCCTTAGAGCTAGCTGATTTCCAGGCAACGCTTTTGTATCCATCCTCTTTTTTGAGGGTACCCTACTGAGGACTAAACCAGTGTATTTCAGTAGCCATCCACTGATCACAGAGACACATTTAAGCATTTTGTTTGAGAAAACTCCATGTATGTACTAGAACTCTAGGAGCATTATTCTTTTAACTACCCTCAGATTTATGATAATTACAAAAAAGAAAGGACAAAGCAGTTGCTGAGGCTGCTTATGTAAACACCTCATGGGATTTAACCTTAGTTCGGAGGGTAGACTGATAACAAGCTTCGTGTTTCTGTCCTACCTCATAGTTCTTAGGGTCCTAAAAACTTACAAGTGGCCAAAGGCCCAACAACTGTTCTCTATTCACCTCATAGGAGGAAGGGTTAGGAATATCAGGATGATATAGAATGTATGACTAATTTCCCTTTTGCCAAGATACCAGATCTAGGTAGTAACAGGCTACCATTACTGAATATTTGGATCAAAGAGTCTGAGGGTTAAGTCTGTGTCGACTTGGCTCAGCCAAGATTCTCAGCAGTTTGGCAGTTAAGATCTAGTAATCCCCCATATTACCTAACACATTGTAATAAAATCCATAATGGGATCTGCAATGGCAGCCAATCAGTTGTGAGAATGTGGTATGCAATCTCCCTTCTGAGGTCACAGCCCTGAGGAAGGTTCCTTAGGGGTGTGGCCTACTTCCCATATAAGTAAACATGGGGAGCTCCTTGCTGGATCTGGATCCTGCACCTGGCTCACTGACCTTCAGTTCTTTGGACTTCAGCCAACAATCTGCCATTCTGCCGGCTGACCACCCCTGTGAGCCATCTATAGCCTGCCGTCTGACCTGCCATCCTTGGATTCACTCACTGGACTTTGCCTGACCTGCTGACCTTGGAATCATCTGCTTCTGCATCCACTAGCCTGTGACCCTCTTGGTTTGCCTTCCTGCTTCTTGCAGCTACGTGAGCCTAGAAAGAATCTCCATTTAAGAATTGACCCATGGACTTGAACCAGACTGAACTTAATTGCCTCTATAGTTGTGAGAGTCATTTTCTTCCTTTTACTTTTTGTGGCTATTTTATAACATTTTCTTCCTTTTTGTACTCATTATTACTAGCTCTGTGTTTCTCCCTAACCTCCCCTGTCATAACCAAGAAACAATTCATTTGTTGTCTATAGATTTACCTAGCCTGGATTTCATATCAAGAAAATAATACAATACCCCCAACAACAACAAAATAAAACAGAAAAACTTCAATCCAAATGAAAGCATAAAATAATAAAACTAGAACAAATTAAAAATGGGTCCAAAGGGAAAACCAATGACAAAATGTTAAAATGTAACCTATATTCATGATTTCACTGAGGGCAAAAGAGTCCTTTTCTTTATGTAACTCTCTCTCTTTATACAGAAGTATCACTACTTTTGCTTCTCTAGAGAACTCAGCCTAACATAGATTCCAAACAAGAATCCTAAACAAAAGGAGAAAAATGTAGAACAGAATTTTAAATTTTCTAGACTTTCTGAAGCCAGAGAGTGGCTGAACCTCTGGAACTATTGCTCTGAGGTAATCTTTAAACCTTAAATTAAAATCTTCCCTGAAGTCTTCTTAAAACTAAATAATGTAGTTTAACTGATCAAAAAAAAAAGCCTGCTTTGCTCATTTTGCTCTTTTAATAACTCCCTAAATAGGATGAAATTAAAAACAGCAACTTGAAAGATTAGATAGTCACCTTAGGGGGATAATGAGTTTATGTTTAATGAAGGAGGGCCAACTCACACAAGGAGGGCAGAAATGGTTGCACAACTCAAAGAATGTAAACAATATAATCAATGTCACTAAAATTTCCATGTAGAAGTTGATCAATTGGCAGATGCTTTGCTCTGTATATTCTCAAGAACAAAATAAAAAGAAAAAAAATCTCACAAGTAGAGCAATTAAGTAACATCATAATTCATGGAGAAAAGATTAATGCTGTCAAATGTTGGTTCATTTTACAACCAATGCCCACTAGAGCAGAATTAACGAGATCAAATGGCATGCTGCAGTGGGCAAATCTGCTGCAGCAAAAACCTCTTGAAAGAGTTCAAAAGCAAAGATGTCCCTTGAAGACGAAGGTGCAACTGTTCGAGGCCAGGAAAAACTGATGCCTTTGCATTATGGTACTGGTGAAGAGGGCTGAACGTGCTGTGGACGGCCAAAAGCATGAACCAATGTGGCTTGCAAGAAGTACAATACAAGCACGAGCACTCCTGAGAAGGGAGACTGGTAAGACTTCGTCTCAGGTAGCTTGGAGATACTGGACGTGTGATCAGGTTGCTGGAGTAAAACATTATACTTGGTAAAGTATGGACATCCTAGTGAAGAAGGACACAGTGCTTGGTAAAGCCTAAAAGATGACCCTCAATGAGATGAACACAGTTGCTGCCAGCAAGGGGTTTAAACCCATGGTGAAGACTAGGTAGGACTAACCAATGTTACATTCTCTTGCTCACGGGATCCCTAGGCATCAGAACTGGCTCATCAGCATCTAACAAAAGGAGCAATAACGACAGGTAATTTTAGAAGGTCTCTGGATGGCATAAATGGTTTGTCTTGGACTATTCACCAAAAGGATGACTGTTGGAACCTACCCAGTGGTACTATAGAAGAAAAGTCCTGCATTTCTAAAGCTACAAAACCCATACGGAACTTAGTTCTGCTCTGTAACACATGGCTCTCCACGACTTGAAATGGCCTCCTCTGCTTCAGTTTGGGTTTTGATGATGTTGTCGTCAGCACTGCTAGTGCTGTCAAAGAAATCCTTGGGTGGCACAAACAGCTAAAAGTTGGGCTACTCATTAAAGTTAGCAATTAGACTTCACCCACGGGTACCTTGAAAGTAAAGCCTGGCTGTGGACATACCAAAGGTCAGACCTTGACAATTCCTGGACTACAGCCCTATGGTTGCCATTTGGGGCCGCCTGAGCAGGAATCTACTCAACAGAAACTAACACTAAAAACAGGGTTATGAAAAAGATCTCCAGGATAATTTGGTGAGGAACATGCGCAAATGCCATGCTATGTTTTGTGTAACCAAGGAGAGGCAATAGGTTTCTGTTTACACTCACTTGTTTTTACACAAACACTGGCAAATGCTTCCAAATACAGTAAAGAAAGCTGTCTAATTGAAGAGGAAGGGGCTGGATGAGAAGTAGAGTGGAAGCAAAGCTTCATACAGTATACCATATGTGTTCATAATGAATTTACAACTTTAAAATACCATTTACTGTAAAGCCATAGTGTAAGGAAATGACCTTGCACTTTTTAATATGTGTAAAAAAATAAATATTTAAACTCTTAACCAAGGATTTTCCTTTGTAATTATAAAACTATTTAAAATGTAGTCATTTGGGTGTATTATTATATCAGCTAACACTCAACTCCAAAAACTCACTGCCATTGAGTTGATGCCGCCTCACAGCAACCCCACAGGACAGTGTGGAACTGTCCCTGTGAGTTTCAAGACTGTCACTGTTTATGGACTAGAAAGCCTGTCTTTCTTCTGTGGATCGGCTGACCTTGTGGATTACAGCCCAACGAGCAACCACCTCGCCACTAGGGCTCCTTTACATCAGCTAATACACTTGTGCTAAAAAACATACAACTAAGATAGAGCTATCTTTCTAATGACCAAAAGTCGACATGTACAGTTTATGTTTCTAAAATGACTAAACTATTTAACACATTAGAAATTCTGATTTCTACAAGTAGAAATCAACACTTGATTTCTTACAAGTAATAGAAGCATTTCAAGATTTAAGTAAGCATTAAAGTAGTTTTACATCAGTTAAAATATGTATTGTTTGACTGGCCTTCTATTCATGTACTTAAAAAATTCTCAGCAGAAAACCACAAGCTAATCTTTCAATTTTATTCCAGTGGAAATAAGCCCCCAATTTAAATGCACTCATCCAATGTGTTAACATTTATAGTAAAAAACAGAGAACACTTTAATTTCAGGTTCTAATTCAAGACTGCGGAGAGCAGTTGAAATGATAAGACGTTAATGTCAGCTCTGGGCAAAGGTATGTGGGAGGACAAGGACCTAAACTAAACAATAAAAAGAAAAGAACAAAAACACACTTCTCACACATCTGAGAGCCTTTAGGCAAAACATTTCCCAATAGCAAAAAAGGTGGGGTTTGGAGAATCCTGCCCATGATCCAGCTAGACCCACTGTCCCTAGTTTCATTCTGTTAGTGATGCCATGAGCCCATCATGCCCTACCCAGTAAGCCATAAAAGGAGTCAAGGGGTCCCCACATTAACTTTCTCCATTCTTTCTTACCTAATCACCCCATATGAGAGCTGGGGCTATAGTTTTAGAACTACATAGAAAAGACTTCCTGGGGAACCCAAGGAAACAGTTTGTAGTGATGGGACAAGAATGGCTCACTCTCTTCAGCCAGATCTACTGTCTGCAGGCTGTGGTCAGGGGATCCTGTCACTAGCACAGATCACCGAGGCATAGGACGGGGATGTTAATATCGCATGGTGGCAGTTCTTCAAGTAGCACTAAAGATGACCCCAGGCACTCAGGAATCGAAAAACACATATATAGAAAGAAAGGGTGCGGGGACAGTAGAGCAGGGTCTTACTTAGGATGCCTCTGAGGTCCCAGACCCTTGGTTTCCTCTGCCAACTTTTTAAATCTCTTTAAGGAACCAAATGGTCTAGAATACACAGCTGGTCCTCCATCAATTTATAATGAGCCTTACCCAGTTACATCACGAATAACCCAGTTCTCTGTGGTACTCACCATTTCCTTGCTCCAGCTTCTGGAAGTCTATGCAAATGTCCTCTCTAAGTCCCGGACGCTGCTTCAGTGAGAGGTATGGGAACAGAAGGGGGACCAGTAGGCACTTTGGAGGCAGATGAATGCGTGGTCTAGACAGGCAATCGGAGCAGATGAAATCCTTACTTGCAACTGCAGGTATGTACAAGGTGGTCACTCAAGGTCCCCAGCAGCCTGGACTGGACTGGTTTTCCCTGTACCACACTTGGTACCTGAAATGGAAGAAGGATGGGGAGACTGTTGAATAAGGATCCAGAGAGAAGTTCTTAGCCATTAGTTCTTTCCCGGGGAAGGGCTTCCTTCCAGGCTTATGGCAGTGTTTCCAGTATTTGCATTTAAAGCAGAACGGGCTCCAGTCTTCCAGAGCACACGCTTGCATCCCTATCACTGAGCCCCTGAATAGATTAACAAATGCTGTTATAGGACATCAACATGTTGCAGGACATCAATATGGGTTCTCAGGGAACAATGTTGCGTTGTCTTGTTTTTTAAAAACTATCTCATTTACAGCATTACAATGTTACAGTGCAATGAATTGCTTTTATATGGCCATTTCAGCCATGGTCATGTGACTCCACAAAATGAGTGACTGGAACTACACAAATAGATGTAAAAAAAAAAAAAAAAACTCTCGCCGGGAAATTGGGCTGCTAACCGCAAGATCAGTAGTTTGAAACCACCAGCCTCTACTCAGGAAAAAGATGAGGCTTTCTACTCCCATGAAGCGTTACAATGTGAGAAAACTACAAGAACAATTCTACTCTGTCTTAAAGCTCTCTGTGAGTTAGAATTGATTCTATGGCAGTAAGTATGTGAATATGGTGTCTGTGGCCTACCATTTGTCCATTGTACCATCCCACTATGTTTAAAAGCACCAATCCCACAGAGGTTAAGGGAGTCTTTCTCACTGCACTGAGTAAATTCCAACTCTGAGCAACCCCACAGAGCAGAGCAGAACTGCCCCTGTGCATTTTTGAGACTAAATCTTTACGAAATGGGAAGCCTCATCTTTCTCCCAAAATGGAGACCTTCCTAGGATAAAAAAGAGGAGCTAAGAGTAGAACACATCCTTTGGACCAAGAGTCTCAGTGCTGAAAACCTTCTAGACAGACCCAAGACCAAGAGACAGGAACTAAAGACCATCCCATGCCATGCAAGATACGAGCACTCACGTGCGATGGCGGAAACCAGAAAACCCACACAGAAGGTGTGTGTATTGATAAACTGTATTCTCGTTTATGTACTGTTACTTCCAAGTTGATTCTGATTCTTAACAGTAACCTGTTACTTCCCAAATAAATCCCACAATCACCAGTATGCATATGGATTCCATGTGGTCACTGCAACAAAGTATCAAGCCCAGCAGGTAAGCAAAAATCAAAACAAGATTCACTGCCATCGAGTCAATTCCAACTCATAGTGACCTTCTTGGACAAGGTATAACAGTTTTAGAGACTGTAACTCTTTACGGGCTGCTAACCACCAGCCACTCCTTGGGAGAAAGACCAGGCTTTTTACTCTCGTAAAGAGTTACAGTCTTGAAAACCCACAGGGGCAGTTCTACCCTGTTCCACAGTCACTGCGAGTCTGCATCGACTTGATGGCAGTGGGTTGGGTTTCTTCATTTTGATGTATGTGTGACAGTTCTCCTTGACCTCCCAGGTCCTTTGTAAAGTTCTGTACATCAGCAAATCCTCGAAACCACTATGCCACAGTGCCAATGGTCTCCCAAATCTGGATAATACGCTTTTTGTCTTCCCCTTATCCTATGTAGGACTGTAAACAATGTTCTCTTAAAAATAAAAACAAACAATAAAAATAAGGTAACAGTCGATTCAATTTGGATGTAATTATATGACTGGGCCTACTGTCGACTTAAATTGAATTTACCTCATTCTGAAAACTGCGATGAGATTTAAACGTAGAAATGAAAGGGAGTATCTGATGGGATGCTGTTGGTTGGCGCCATCAAGCCAGTTACAACTCAAAGGAACCCTAAATACAGCAGTACGAAACCCTACCTGGTCCTGCATCCTTCTCACCATTGTTCTATGTTTGAGCCTACTGTTGCAGCCACTGTGTCTATCCATCTCCGTAAAGGCCTTTACTGCCATTTTGCTGCCCCACTACTTTACCAAGCATGGTATCCTTCTCCACGGACCAGTCTCTCCTGACAACATGGCCAAAGATGATATGGAAGATGAAGTCTTGCCATCCTTGCCTCTAGGAGCATTCTGGTTGTACTTCCTAGACAGAATTTGTCCTTTTGACAGTCCGTGGTACTTTCCATGTTCTTCTGCAGCACCACAATTCAAAGGCATTGATTCTTCTTTAGGCTTCCTTATTCAATGTCCAACTTCCACATGCATATAAGGCAATTGAAAAGACCATGGCATAAGGTCAGGCACACCTTAGTCCTTAAAGTAACCTCCCTGCTTTTCAACACTCTAAAGAAGTCTGATGCAGATTTAACCAATGCAATGCATCGTTTGATCGCTTCCCTGTTACTTCCATGAGAATGGATTGTCAATACAAGCAAGAAGAAATCCTTGACAATTTCAACCTTTTTTGCATTTATCTTGATGCTTGACTAATAGGTAAGCATTGTGAGGATTTGGGTTTTCTTTCCACTGAGTTGTTATTCATACTAAATGCTGCAATCCTTGATCTTCATTAGCAAGTGCTTCAAGTCCTTATCACTTTCAGCAAGCAAGGTTGTATCACCTGCATACCACAGGTTGTTAAAAAAAAGCCTTTCTCCAATCCTGATGCCTCATTCATCTTCATATAATCCAGCTTTTCTGATTATTTGTTCAGCATACAAATTAAATGTGGTGAGATGATACCACTCTGACTCACACCTTTTCTGATCTTAAGCCATGCAATATTTCCTTGTTTTGTTGGGACAACACACATATATACATCTTTCTTTTTAAAAATCATTTTATTGGGGGCTTGTACAACTCTTATCACAATCCATATATACATCCATTGTGTCAAGCACATTTGTACATTTGTTGCCATCATCATTCTCAATACATTTTCTTTCTACTTGAGCCCTTGTTATCAGCTC